GTTACAGAATTCTGCATCTGCCAATAAAAGAGGATTAAGCCGCCACAGCGGTGGGCTACGTTTATAAGATGTCAACTGGATATCTAATAGTAGTGGAGCATGGTCAGATATCATTATACTCAAATAATCTGAGAGAACTACACATGAATTGAGTGCCTGGTCAATAAAAAAATAATCAATTCTAGAATAAGAGTGGTGAACCTTAGAAAAGAAAGAGAATTTTTTCCTGGTGGGGTTTCGATATCTCCATGGGTCAATAAGACCACTCTGCCTTGTGAAATCAGAGAATGCTTGGGCCATTGACGATTTAGCAAAATTACGGGGATTGGATCGGTCAAGCTCTGGATCTATGACACAATTCAAGTCACCCCCTAGAATCAGCAAGTGGGAATCCAAAAATGGGAGGCTGCTCAATAACCTATTTACAAACTCAGCATCATCGATGTTTGGAGCATATATATTAACCAGGAGAATCTTTCTCTGCATTAATATACCGGCAACTATCACATATCTACCATATTTATCAGTTATCACGTTAGTAGGCGAGAATTGTACTGTTTTACTCATCAAGATGGCTACACCTCTTGATTTGGAATTAAACTCAGAATGAAAAACCTGATTAACCCAGGAGCAACGCAACCTAATATGATCCTTGATGCGAAGATGAGTCTCTTGTAGAAACACTACTGAAGGTTTTAACCGCTTGAGGTGGGAAAAGACTTTTGATCTTTTAACAGGATGACCCATACCCTTGATATTCCAGCTAATGAAACGTAGAGAAGTGCCTGGTCCTGCAATACCAGGGTCTAGAGTGGTGTTAACCATTAAGTAAAATATAAACAAAAACAACCATAGAGAGCTGAGATGGTCCACCCCACAACCCCATGCCCAAACATAACCCCATAACCAAACAACACCCAAAGTCTCCATAAAAAACAGAACAATGGAGACAGCAGTGCTAAACACGGCAAATATTCACAGTAAATTGTGAACACGGAGATACAGCAGAGCGAAAAAGCTTGGAAGTGTGCTTAACAAAAACCGGCTAATAGCCCCCACCAACCTCCAACTTATAACACCAGTATGTGCATTATTATACTACTTTAAGATTATTTTTATTATATTGCAACAAGGTTGGAACCCGCATAATCCCTATATAATGTAGAAAAGATGCTACCTAACAGTGAATATCACTGTAGGTGCTCACAAACATCAATGTCTAAACTGAACAAGATATAACCAAAACTTTAATTCCCTAGTAACGTACCTGAGTCTCAGGTCTAAGTAAGAGTGCAGAGTATATATTCACCCAGACACAGTCTGTGACTCATTAAGAGTGAGTCGGGCTCACTCAGAGATCAGAGTCTGCACATACTGCTTTGCTTCTTGGGATGCAGTAAACTCCTTTACAACTCCATTGTAAGTAATGCGCAGCTGCGCTGGGTAGAAAAGTCCGTACCTGATCCCTTCGATGCCACGAAGTAGCCGCTTTACCTCATTGAAGGCCGCCCGAGCCCGGGCAACCTTAGCAGTGTAATCCGGAAAAATCGATACAGTCCCGGCTCCTACTTTAATCCGCTGGCGCTCCCTGGCCCGACGTAAAATGTCCAGACAGTCACTGTAGTAATGAAGCCTGCACACAATTACTCGAGGTCGTTCGCCTGGTCTGGGTTTGGGCTGAGAAGAGCGGTGAGACCGGTCCACCAGCGGTTTCTTTTCCAGCCCGAGCGCTTCCTTCAGCAGCGCAGCCACGGCGGTGGGTGAGCAGGAGCCAGCTGCTTCCTCCACGCCGATGATCCTGATATTGTTTCGGCGCGATCTTGACTCTAACTCCTCGCACTTGGCTTCCAATGTGGTAACCTTAGCCGTGAGCTGCTCCAGTGTAGTTTTCATTCCAGTAATATCATCAGTGCAGCCCGAGAGCGCCTCCTCCACATCCCCCACCACAGCTGTTAGCTTAACCAGTTTAGCATCGGTAGCAGCATGGTCACTAGCTATCTGCGTCTTCACGGCCTGTACCTCAGCTTTGATAGACGACAACGCATCTCCAAGAACCTCTTGAAGCTCCTTCTTAATAATTCCGGCAATATCTTCTTTCAGAGATGCCAGTAGTTCCACCTTGAGGGTGTCGGCGACCGGGCTCACCTCGGTCGGAGCGGTCACAGCATGGGTCTGGCGGCGAAGAAGCCGAGCCTGCGAGCATGACTTTAGCTGGGTCTGAATAGTCCGAGATTTTCCTCTTCCCGACATTGTCACTTGTGCAAACAAGATGTATACGTGGATCCAAGGTGCAAAACAATCGATAGCGACTTGGTTTACAAAGAAAGCACATTGGAATTAACTTTTTAAAACGAAATTGGCAGGAGCTACCACCACACCACGTCCTACTCCATAGACCGCTCCCCATGAATACTTTTGAGGAATGTTTATCAGACCCGGTGACGAAATAAGTACGATTCCTCACAAAATACCTACAAAGATGATCAATCGGCTGAAACCTTCGGGTCGCAAATTGCAACGTCAATGGAAGGAACTGTTTGCAAAGAAGCCCGGTGCCCTCTCTGTTTCACTTATCAATGTGATTGAGGTGTGACGTATGCCGAAGTGGCAGTGGTGTCCACCGGCGGTCTGCGTCGTGTGTGAAAGTTGTGTGCAAATACAAACACCCTGCAGCCACACAGCCACCAATTGACTATTGGCCTTCAGGTGAAGCATGGGAGAGAGTAAATAGTTTCTCCATCACATCTATAAACCTGAGATCATGACGTATGTGGAACATCCCCAGAGCCAATAAATGTGCCAAAGTTAGTGATTAATTTATTTTTAGAAGCTTTGCATATCTTTACCAGGGATACCAGTAAATATAGCCGCCTTTGAATTTCAGTAAAATTACTGATGTCATTTCACAGCAGTTAAATTACAGGTTTAACTGCTGTAATTGTGTCATTATGCTGGCACTGTTGTTTTAACCTGCCCATAAATAGTAATAAAATGATAAGAAAAGGACTCAACAAGTAGACATGTCAGAAATAGAGTTCCTTCGTTGTTTTCGAACTTCAGGATTTTTCTCAAGAGTTATAATTGTACACACAGTAATTGGAAGCTAAGATTGATCAACTTTTTTTAGACTTTGCTCAGTAATACCTGCGAAGTGTGTAGTTATCTTAGTGTGGGTGGATGACACTGTGGACCTGCGAGGGGTCAGTTCTACTCTGGAACTACAGCTCTGCTCTTCCCAATTCTGATCCTTTATATATATATATATATATATATATATATATATATATATATATATATATAGTACTTTATATATAAGATATATGAAGTACTGTGTTAGGAGCCTGAAACAGCCTAATTCAAACATATAAAGTCAGGACTGAACTTTTACGCAACTCTTGATAATAATTAATTATTATCAATAATTAAATGCAAGGACAGCTGTGGTATGAGTTCCAGTTGTCCTGTGCAACTTGAAGCAATTCTCTCAACACCGTTTAAAGCCCCAGCGTAGATCTAGGAGGATCAAATGCTTTTGTCATCGAGCATCGCATCGAATCAACCGAACCCCTCAAACCAAAACTCTGTTGTCGACCCAGGTTGACTTTCTACCCAGCCAACTGAGCAAAACCCATAAGGTGGACTCACAAACGAATGTGATCTAAATAAAATAATAAGTCTTTGCCCTGAAAAACACACAGGGGTGTCCGGCCACTTTTAGATGTGTCCCCGCTCTATTGCTGCTGATTGAATCGCTCTGACCAGCATCTCATACTGTTGTGGAGAGGTCAGCTAACAAGCCGTCATTTGTCTCAGTTGTGTTGAACCAGGAAAAGAACTGAAACATCTACTCGTCCTTGAGGACTGAATTTGGACACCGCTGGCTCAGACGAATCATTCAGTTAATGAAACCAGCTTGCTGGCAAGTATGACGTTTGCCGTCACTATACCTATGTCAGCTGAGGGTGGAGGCAAACTTGAATTCAGTTTCCAGAAAGAAAACTTCTCACCACAAGTCACGTGAAACTTCCTGCTCTTTACTGAGTTGATCGACTTATCAGCCTTACTGTTATCATTTTCAAACTAGTGCACTCAAAGAAACATCTAATATTTGATACTCTCTGAAGTTCCACTTTACATTACTACATACATGTAGTCTTGAGCCAGGTTATCTAAGTCCCATTCTCAGGCTTCCAGTTCGCACGGCCCTTACAGTCGTAATAATAAGTCACTCAGTGATGAATGAAACTTTTTGTGACGTCACATGCCAGTGTGCGAACATGCATGTCAAGTGTGACAGTTTATCTGGCATTAATCTGTAAGTGTGTGAATCATTACCAGGACATTGGATTGACAAGGAGAACCGACTGTCCAGTGTGGCTCAAACAACGTTTCATTGTGACTTTCTATTGATTTTTGGATCTGCGAAGCAGCAGCCCGTCACAGGCGAAGCCCTGCATTTGACATTGAGATTGAATTAAATCATGTTGTTTGTGCTTAAATCTGTTCATGTTTTAGTCAAAGACGCCGATGGCACACCACATCGAGGCGTGTAACACGAACACCGGTTTAACTGAGGGTATTTATTTAGTGGCCATTTGTAGTAAATGTCACTTTGCATGACAAATAGGTGTCATTCACCTATTTATTATGAGAATAAACCTTTTAATCTTTATTTATTCAAATGTTTTTCATTGTTTATTTGGAATCCTGGGTATGTTTTTTTCTAAAAGGCTAGTGAGTTTTGTGCAAAAACAAATTCACAGCTTTCTTTTGTGAATTCTTCTGTGTTGCTCTGACCTCATTATTAATGGTCCTTCAACATTAGGGCCCCATCTTTTGGCGTAGCTTATGCACTGCACCTTCTGGCCGTTTTGTGTAAATACTTGCATAATAAGAGTTGATTATCATTGCTGTATTCTCAGGTCTTACAACACACCAAGCTCACCTCAGCTTTCATACGTTTCTCTGCTGTTGCAGTAACAAAATAAGTCAAACGGCAATTAGAATTGAAATCAAAGTACTTTTTATTGAAAACCATAAAATGTAATTTTTTTTTCTCAGTAAGAATTGTGATCAACATTGAAATGGAGATAACAGTGTCTGCATTAACCAAAGCAGCACACGGGTATAAGGTGAAATGTATGATTTAAAAAAAAACAACAACAAAAAAACATAGCTGGATTTAAGATCCGAAAGTTGTTTTTTTTCTACATGACACATAAATCCATCTGCACAACGCGTACGCAGGCACGGCCAGGCTGGGGACTCCGGCCACCAGGAAGATGGCTGCGTTGATCCACGAGGGGTACTCCACTGACGCCAGAGCCGGAAACGCATCCTGGAAGCACAAAACTTTGTCATCAGCGCATACTTCAGTGAAACGTCGATAATACAGATTATTATAATTATTGACTTAAAGGAAGAGACTAAGAGGAGATAAAACTGCTCTAAATTCAAAACGATCACAAACTTTGAAACCAGATGGAAACAACCGTTCCACAGAAAAAATAACAGAAAGTGAGACAATTGAATGTGTTTTATTTATTATTTACTTATTTTTTGTCAAGCTACCACTAAAGATTTGTGTTGGTGGCATTTTAGATGATATTAGTTTGCAATTGAACAGACGGCGTTCAGAGTAGCTTGCAGTTTGACATCCTCGCGAGAACGTCGGCTTGATTCTCCAAGAACTCTTTGACTGGTTTTTACCCCTGGCAAGGGGTAAAAACTGGAAACCAGCCCACATAACCCAAGTTCCTTTTGATGACGAGCCGAAACTCGGTGACAGAGATTCATGTCTTACAGAGTTGGGATCCCACACTAAGTAGGTGAGCTTCTGTTGCACTTGAGTGACCAGATAGAAAATGAGGATGACCAAGACGATGAGCGGACTGACGACTCGCCACGTGACCTGCCAGAAGATTGACGGCTTACGTCCCACCATGAACTCTATGTCCTTGTTGAACCTGTTTTAAAAGAGAATGTAAAGGATGACCTTCTTTTTTTTTTTTTTTTTTTCAACAATAACTGGCACACTTGGAAGAATTTTAAAGTTAATGTCTCGACTGGATGGTTTGGAAAGGTCAACTCACCTGTCCACGCCATAAATATAGACGACAGCCACCATCTCAAACAATCCGATGGTCAGCAGAGGGACTGATCCGGCAAAATTATCGAAGAAAGAGACCCAATAAAGGCCCGAATTCTGCGTAAACAGCAGGCAGATGATGAAGCAGACGACGCACGTCACCCCTGAAACAGACGTACAGAAAACCAGTGGAGGTTGTGTTCAGAAACAACGGGCGCTTCTGGAAACAGTCGGGTTACCAGTGAGTGCTTCATGGGGCCATTGTTTGGGAAATATTTGCAAGTCTTTCAAGGGAACCACCACTCCCTCGATGTTGCCGAACAGCGTGGAGAGTCCCAGGCAGAGGAGCATGATGAAAAAGAGGACGGACCAGACAGGAGAGCCGGGCATCTTGGTGATGGCCTCAGTGAAGACGATGAAGGCCAGACCTGTCCCCTCTACTCCCTGAACGAGGACGCACACAAACCGTCACCTTAATTATTTATGGCACAAGAAACATCTCATGATTTTTTTAAAAAAGATGAACTGATTGTACTTGTAGATTGAACTGCAGTTTTTATAATATATTGTCCTACTTATACAAATTTATGCCATTTTAAAATATTCTGTAAAAGCTGTAGAATTAATTCATTAATTTTGTTTGAATTAAAGTAATTATATAGGTTAAAAAGCAATAGCTTAATGAATTTATATTCATATTATATATATATATATATATATATATATATATATATATATATATTATATATATATATATATATATATATGTTTTAAAGAAAACAGATATAGAAGTTATTGTAGAAACACAATAAGGTTTTCTTGCACATGTAGCTTTTTGGAAACAAAATGCAATATTTATGCTCAGTTTATTTGGGAAAAGTGTTCCTAAAAATGTTTTAGTCTCATCTACCAGGTGTTTGTGTTTTAGTTTTCATTTGTCTTTGTGTTCTGATCATTTTGCGAATTTTGCTAAGTTTCCAGGCTTTTCATATTCAGCTCCTTTTTCTGTCTATTATTGTCGTCAAAGTCTCGTCGTATTAGTCAATTCCTCGTCATTTAGCTTCTTATTTATTTCCTGTGTTCTGTTAGTGTTCTTTTCGGGGTTCTGTGTGTTCTGCTCCCTCTGTATCGTCTGTGTGCATTAGACTAACCAGCACCTTACTGGTGAGGAAGCTCAAGCCTTTCAAATAGATTTTCTGCGTCTTCTGGTGTTGATTTTAAACACCTTGATGAGATTTTAAAGAAAGTATCTTGGAGCCTTTTTCCCTGGGTAACATCTTCCACACAGAAGAGGGTTTACTTTTAGCACAAACTATTAACAATTTGTTCCATTCACTCATCAGGAAAAAATTCAGATATTAAAATATTTGACTTCCTCCTGATCTTTTTTTTTTTTAATAATTCGACGTTTATCTATCTATTTTTTTAAGAGTTTACCTCACTGAGCAGTTTCTGCATGTCACAGGTTTGGAGGTCCAGTCCAAGAATGACATCGGGATAGGAGCTGTTGAGGTGATTAAAGGCCACGTCATAGTTGCTTGACGTGATGTTGTCTTCAGGAAGGTCAAACCTATTCAATAACCTCACAATGTTTCTGAAACGAAAAGCATGAAGAGAATTTCGAATCACTTTGGACGCGATTGAAGCGCTGGTCATTTTTTGTATTGCACACAAAATGTACCGTACTTACTCACTGATGCAGGTGTCGTATTTCTCAGTGGCTCTGAAGCCAATGATGGAGTAGGTCACCAGGGCAGCATAGACTGACGTGAGTCCAGTTACGACAGACAGGATCACCGCATCTTGCACACAGTTGTTGCTGAAAGGGGGAAAGAAAAGGGAAGAGACTCGGAAACTGCGCTGTGCTAGGAAGAAAAGATGCGCCATTTCCACCGAAATGCCCAGGTCTTACTGAACAGGGTTGTAACTTGAGAAGGAGATGAGGCCTCCCCATGCCAAACCAAAGGCGTAAAACACCTGAGCTCCAGCGTCCAGCCAAGTGGTTGGTTTAATCAACTCCTCCGCCTTCGAGAGAGAGAAACGGTGAGGAGACGTGGCATAGAATGAGAGCAGAGAGCTTACACTTTTTTCCTGATGGGTTTGCTCGAGATAAGGAGCTGGTTTCCAGATTTCATTCGAAAGACAGAATCAGGTTCAACGCACATGCCAATCGTCTTGTGGTCTCGCAAACAAACTCAAGGCCTTGACATGACTGACAAATTTTGCTCAGGTTTTCCTCGAGAAAACTTGTTATCTTAAAAGAATCATCAGGAAATTCACTTATCTTGAGAAAACATTTGGGAAATCAACTCATTACTTTCATGCAAGCTTTGGAAAACTACCGAGTCACCTTGAGAAAACGGGAAATCAACTCGTTATCTTGAGAAAACGGCCCTGGAACTAACTTTTTATATTGGGGGGATTGTATCTGCTCTCGCCTCCTCGAGCATTGACTGGTGACGTCACAAAATAAGGTTTGGTTTGTTTAAAAAGAAAATGCATGAAACGTACATCTGGTGTGAAGAGGAATTTGATCCCGCTCACGGCACCTTTCAGAGTCGCTCCTCGGATCAGGAAGATCGCCAGCACGATGTAAGGCAGGATGGCTGTGACGTAAACCGCCTGAGGTCACGATGAAAGGAAACAACCTGGGATGAGTGGTTATCGGAGCGCATGCTTGGCTCAACACAGAAACAATTGACGACCGTTACGTTGAACCAGCAGGGGGAGGTGTCACAAAAGTTAACATTTGTACAAAAGAAGTTTTCTACTGGTTTTGATCAGACTCATCTGATCTACTGTTGCCTCATTCTCTATGACGAATAAAAGTTGGGCGTGTTTTTTTTCTCTTTTCTTTTTTTTAAATGAACTAACCTTCCCTGAAGTGCTTATCCCTCTAATGCAGCAGATCGCAACAATCGTCCACGCCGCCAGCAGACAAACCACCATTGGCCATTGGATTCCCTCAGACTCCGATATGGAGGCAGAACTATCCAGAGTCTGTCTGTAAAAGAAATAATCCACAGTGGAGCTCCGCTGGCATTCCGATATAAATTCTAAGGTAAAAAACAACAACAACAAACAGAGATGGTTAGTCAGTCATAATATCTTGTATCTGCTGATGTGGTCAAGTGTTGTCTGAAAAGGTGGAACTGGATACCTGTCCCATTTTCATTCAGGGGACATTGAGCCCATGGCAGAGGCTGCTGAAAAGAGTTGAGGAGATACCAGATGATCCAGGCTATCAGGGTGTTGTAGTACAACGCAACCAAGAAAGACACCAGCATGGAGGCGATACCTTTGGGCGGACATCATGACAGATGTAGCAAAGTCACGGTACTGAAATGTAACGTGTATGTATTTCTTTTGTACCCACCAATACCAGTCAGATAGGGGCTGATGGTCCTCCACACGCCGACGCTGCCTTTCCTCAGACGTTGACCAATGGCGAACTCCATCAGTAAGAGAGGCATTCCTTCCAGCACCAGCAGGATCAGGTAGGGAATCAGAAAGGCGCCTGGAGAAGACACCGATTCATGCTAGCTGACACTTTTCTTTCACAATAATTTGGAATTTTGCGGTGAAATATGTTTTTTTTAAAAACTTTTCACAGTGATCTGCTTTTTCCACTTCTGATACCGATACACATGTCCGAGGTTCAGGATCGACCGATACCGATCCGATACACAAAATGGAGCTGAATTGAGTTAAAATGTTTCTTAAACACAGACATAAAGTTACTGAAGTGCAAATTCATTTCATAACTCTGCACCGGAAAAGCGCACTGAAATACACTAATAGCTTCACAAGCTTGGTAAAAATAACCTAACAGTGCAAATAGAAGTACAAGAGTCAATGCAAATAAATACTAAAGAAACTGAAACTGAATATCTTGGTCAAATGTAAAAAACAAACAGCAACAAACTTTATTTCAAGTGGTTCATATTGTGCAAATAGTTGTTCCAAATGTAACGTAAAATAAATAAAGCACGGCTTTGCTCAGAGTGCTGCCCTGATCGATTGGCCACATTGTCACCAATTTAAACCAGATCACGTTTCTCGTGTCTTTCGCTTTTGCCATTTTAGCCGTCTCTCAAATACCAGCTCTAAAATGTTTCTTTTGACATCCAAACAAACCAAACGAACTAAAAAGCCCAGGCATTTGCCCGACTGTTGTGTCACCTTATAAAATCTAATCAGTTTGGACGTGGACGTTTGCCATTTGAACCTTAAAAACATTTACTGTTTCCTGTTCACACTGATTCCCCTTGTAAACATAATTGCCACTGAAGGTACTTTCCCCTGTTCAGACATTCAAACATTGGTTTCCAAAGCTTCATAGTGGAAAAAAAAAAAAAAAAAAATACGATTAGGAAATATGTGCTTTTTTTCCAGCCTGAATTCCTTAATTTATTTGAAGTGGCGTTATGGTTTATTTTAAAATACAGAATTGGCACACACATTATTTTGAGTGCTTACATCCTCTTGTGCAAAACAATCAATCATTGAGTCAGTAATTTACTTTACTTCAGCGATTTGTTGGACAGCTACTTTTTAACTCTCCTCAATAACATGTCGAAGTGGTTCTACTGTTATTTTGAGTTTGATTTTTTTTTCTTCGCCCAACTCTTGTCGTTTCGCATTATTGTTAATGCAAAGTAAATCCCTGATCCCTGTTTTACGTCCAACTTTATTTTCACTTATATTCAAAATGTCGCAAAAATTACATCTTCTCTTGCAGGTTCTAAAAGGAAGAGTGAAAACATTTGTTGTGCTTCTTGTTTAGCACTAGAAAATAACCTAACGATGAGTCATGTTAATGTTCTTTCATCCACTGAATTTAATTGGAACCCATCACTAACCAAATACAAAATATACAATAAAAACGTGGTACGAAACCATAAAAATGTTGAGCTTTAATCAAACTCTGAACAACCGGAGAGTGATTGTTTGCAACATCAATGTTAGTGTTGACACCCTGGTGTCCCCTTCATATATCCATTTGATGCTGAGACGGCGTGGCAAAGGTAACCTCAGGCCGTCGTCCAGGTTAGTCACTGACGCTTCATGCAGCGTAAAGTGAGAAATAAGGCATTTATCGTTTAGATATGACGCTGCCGACAGGAAGCCGCCATCACCTCGCGTTTATTTATGGCGCCTCTGTTTGAACAAAAGAACAAATCAGATATCGGTAATCGGTCGCAGCTTATCATGAACAACTGTAAAGATTAGCTGTTGTCTGGAACACATTGAGGGCTTGTTCTTATGAAGTGCTCCCTTTATGTGCAACATAATTTAATGCTTTTTGTCTGCTCTTTAGACATCAATTGTAGAAGAATTGAACTAATAAACCCAGACAAAAATCAGCCCAGCTGAGAGTGACGTATAGAGGCTGCTTGTTAAACAGTTTCCTAATTCCCGTGGCTCAGTGTGGATTAATTTCTCACTTGAATCATATGCAATGGGAACGTGCACGTGGATTATCTTTAATCTTAAAGATAATCTAAAGGGACATCAGTAGAAATCTAAAGCCTGAGAATAATTAAAATAACCTCATGGCAAATTCATGGGCAAAGTGCTTTGTACTCGTCCATAAGTGATTTATTAACTCTTTTTGTGGCTGTAGGTTCACTGGACCAGTCATTTTCTTCACAGGAAGAAAATTACGGCTGTTTAAGTCAACATTGCAATTGGTGTGCATGATCATGTGTCAAGACTTTAGCCCGTTGTTCACATCACTCACCTCCTCCATGACTCTGGCACAGGTAAGGAAAGCGCCACACGTTCCCCAGACCGATGCAGAAGCCCACGCAGGTGAGAATGTACTGGGCCTTGTTGTCCCACTGCGGCCGCCCCTCCGCGTCCTCTTTCTCCATCCTCTCCAGCTCATCGTAGTCTGGTATCCGGAGCTCCAGGCCTGGGTTCGGGAGCACCAGCCTCATGCTGAAGCCGCGGGGTTGTGGATGTGTGGATGGAGCGCACACAGGTCGCTATTTACACAGCAGCCTCCAGAGGTCACAACGCAAATTTATGATCTTTTACTGCTTTGCTCCAGTAATAGATAAACGAATAGCAAAGCTTGGCGTTTTATTTCTGAGCACTCAGTGGTTGTTCATCCAGCTTTGACTGGAGCTAAAAATACAAAAGTCCAGGATTACGCATAAACTTAAAAAAAAAACAAAAAATTAATTATTGATCAAAACTTTAAATAACTCATTAACAGTCCTATCTATTGTCTTCACATACTTAACATACAAATGTGTGCATATGTGTTGTATGGAGTGCTAAAAGTGCCAAGATGCAGATACAGAAATAACATTTCATATAATAACATGCATAAACTTCTTTCGATTACAAACCCCACAGGTACAAGCAAATTATAGAAAATGTAAGATTTATTCTTGACGCTATGAAAACCAACTTACTGACAATAAGTTTACCATACAGATGTACATATACAGAATAATTTAACATGAAGCTTGGACCCCTTAAAAAGGTTGTAATGCAATAAGTTGATCTGAAGTTATTGCTAACAGCAAACTTAAACTACACAACCCTGACATTCTTGCAATCACATGTGGGACATTTCCAAAGTTTGGCAACAACTTTCCCTGATGGTGTTTATTAAAGATATGCCTAGAAATTTAAAAAATATTTCTAAATCGTATCAATAGCTGGTTTCTAACCATTTTTTGGTTTTTCCTCATTACATTTTTCTATTGAAATGACCAATTATTACTTAAACATCTCAGAACGTGTTAATTATTAATTCCACGGCCCATCATCATCATCATCATCATCATCATCATCATCATCATCATCCCGAAATGTTTTCCTTTTAGGCGTAATGAATGTATGTTTATTCCAGTCAGTTTCTACAACTGGCCACATATGCTTAAGAAGCACAACCACTGTTTGTTTTTTATGTGTTTTTATTTTTGATTTACAGCAGAGCAAATGCATGTAATATCTATTGTAAATGTAGATATACATAAGCCAATATACATACGACCTGAAATGTCTGAACACAGGGACTGATTTTTGTAAAGCAGTACCTAAAACAAAGTAAACCCCTTCGTCAAAGTAATATTACATTCCTTCCAATCACAGAAATGCAAAACATTATGTAGTGTTCAGACGTGTGAACAGAAACTATCGATCTGAAAAGCTTATGTATAATATTTAAACCAAAATTTTGAACATATCTGAAAAAAAAAAAATAAACACGATATCGAAAGAATAACAAGGGATAGAAATAACATTATTTTATGTCTCTGTTGCATTTTTTTTGCATTGAAGCTCACATGAACCGCAGGCAGGCTTAATGTTTCTGAGCTGCAAGCAGCTGAACTGGCTTAAAAACAAACTGATTTTTATTGGCTTAAAATATTCACTCCAAAAACTGTTTTAAAATTCTGCCATTTAAATTCCTGAACTTAAAAGATGTTCAATAAACCCAGCTTAACTGTCAGGTTTAGCTAAGCTATGTTGTATATAATTTTAGTAGCGCTTGAAGCATTTAGGGTTTAGCACACCCTTGGCTGTGCAAACAAACATGATGCCAGGTTTGATTTAACAAGATGAGTTCCAATATTTTTTTTTGTTTAGTTTAGAATATAATACGCAGAAAGTGAAAAATGCCTGAAAAAAATCCAACATTTAATGCTGCTTTTAATGGTAAGCAAAACAAAACTGCAAAGATTTGTCAAAGTAGTTCAAAGTCAAAAATAGACACTGGTGTTTCTTAAAGTAAATCATTTCAACAGATACAGTTAAAGGAGAATTTTCTGCACTAGAGCAATACTTGGTGTGTTTAAAGGATCAAATTACAAACTACTTCTTGGGAAATGATTTGTGAACGGAGCGGGTAACCTACCGTAAACTGATGTGACTCAAAAATATTGTAAATGATTTTTGACCAAACATTCAAAGAGTCTTTAATTTTTACCAAACGAATCACATATCACTTCATATTGTTCTGCTCATGACTGAACCCTTTCATGGTCCTATTGGGGTAACCCATATATCCAGCAGGCAATGTGAAAGATGTACTATGGATTGATTGCCCCACTGCAAAGCCAAAATGCATGGGCAGTACGGAGAAGAAACCCGCTCAGGCTTGGTTCCTCCACAACATGTCGAACAGAAACCCCAATTCATGCTCCAAACGTCAGCAGTAGCGCTCAAATCAAGCAGAAACCACAAACAAGATCAATAAATTTAGTGTTTACAACAGTGTTTCTGATATTTCATCAACTCAAACAGTTGGTTTGTGTTGCTATGTGACTTTCCCATCAAACAAATTCTTATTTATCCCAAACTATTTCTAAAATAAAGGTTCTACAGAGCTCAGTGTCACATTTCACTGTTTATTCTGTACTAGCATGCAGAGATATAACTAGTTTGTCTTTAAGTGCATGTTTATGTACAAGCCCGTGTCGCTCATTCTGTTTGTTTTGCCAATGTTGTACACACAGTGCGACAAGTTTTCATACAACACAAGTGTTCACAATTCCTTTATACCTTAATCTAGTTAATAATATCTTTACTGCTGTTGTTGCATGGCATAATTGGATGTTTTCTTTAGTAAAAACACTAAAACGTAAGGCCCATACATACTTTGTAAGGACAGATCCTATTTGTTCGCTCTCCCTAGGATGCAAGAACAAAGTGACGTGATTCTGCTTTTACAGCTCTGGTTTAGGATATTTCTTGACAGACATTGTTGGGAAAACTACGATGGCTTTCTAGAAGTTGTGCACAAGGGTTGCTGAGTTCAAATTGGCCTGGCCTGGGAGAACTTAAGTCGTCGTTCTTGCAGCAGTAGCAGAGAGAACAAAACTCTGTTCTTGTGGAGTATTGAGTAGTCTCTATCTTTGCCTTTCAAAGAAAACAGTGAGTCATCGGCGTATTGTATCATTACAACACCCCAGCAAAGTCCAATAAACATAATTTACAAGTTCGTTGATATTAAATAGTCATCTAAAACTTCATTTTGTCATTCATTTGTATTTTGGCAGATATTGTGTCCACCGTACTGTCGCTGTAGTCCTTTTTGCAGAATTTCCTCTGGATGAGCTTGTAAAGGGCAAAGAAGGGTATGGCTAAACTGGGAATTCCAGCCAGGATGAAGATCATGACATAGACCCATGATGGGTAGTAACGCTCAGCAAGGGTGGGAAAGTTCTCCTGCAAGTAGAGCAGAAGATTTATCGAACCAAGATTAGCCTATAACCACAATTAGAAGAAAAGATAGTTGGGGTGAATTTTTCTTCTTTGCACATTTGTAACATGTGGAGTGCCAAACTTACCGCCTCCTGGTCCCAGACCAGGTAGGTGAGTTCCTTCGTGACTTGGGTGACAAAGTAGAAAATCAGAATGACAATCATGATGAGGGGGCTAATCACTCTCCACGTTGCCTGCCAGAAGATGTTGGGTTTGTGGCCGATCATAAACTCGAGGTCCTTATTAAACCTGTTCCAAAGCAATAACAGAGAGATGCACTGAGGTGAGGTGCTGGGAGTTGTGAAATTCAACCTGGTAGTTTTTCCAATAATATATCTCAAGAAGTTCAACAGACAGATTTAGATACGAACATCTTTGCATTCTTTACATGACATTTTACAATATATGACTTAGACTTTCAAATCGAAACACAAATTGTATTCTCCACGCTCTCCAAGTGGCTCCAAGACACATTCTGTACTTTTCTTATCTCTCGTCCGATGACTGACACATTATCTCCCCTTCAAGGACAGAATAAAACACTTGGCTATTTCCTGCTTTGTTTGAACTGTAAAAGCATCTTGCTGACAGTCAGACACTACCATTGACTAGAACTCATCTCAGACTTTTTTTTCTTTTTATGGCAGTACTTTTGACTTTGGCCATTCAAATGATACACCGTGTACATCGATGGTTTTATGTGAATCCCCCATTAAAAAAATAAGAAAATGTTCAGGCCAGGTAGGCACATTTAGTAGCAAAAATCTTCAATGGATAATTTCTTTTTTTAAAAATTATTATTAAAGTATTTATTATTTTGAAATTTTTTTTTGCACATATGTACATAACCCTTCCCAAACCACCTCATATCCCCCTAAAAAAACAAAACACACACACACACACAAAAGGGCATCCAGGTCTACACATATCAAGTCAATAAATTAAATGGACAATTTCTGAATCCAGACTAATAGAGTGTCATGGAATGTGGTGGTGGAGGTGGTGAGGCAGCACGCTGGAGACCCAGATATGGTGAATAACGAAATGTTTAATGAAAACAAGTCCACAAAAATACAGAGTCCGCGGCCAGGCAGCACGGCTGAGCGGAAGCCAGGGCTCACACCGGTAGCAACTGGTCTTAAGGGCGGCACAAAACAAACGAGCGACAATCTGACAAAAGTACGACAAGGACCCGAAGAGGAACAAAGGACACAGGAGGGACTAAATACACTGAGGGTAATCAAGGGAACAAGACACACCTGGGAACAATCAAGGGGAAGACAGGACAACGAGGAGAACTCAGGACACAGAAACTCGGAATTAAACACAGAAAAACACAGAACCTGACATAGAGATGTGGCAAAACATTGAAGTCATGACACGAAGTGTGACAGTGGGTTCATGATAATGAGTCGCAATTTTGGCAATAATTTTGGAGAAAAATTAAGTGCTTGACAAACAGACAGACTTTGATGACCAAATACCAATAGGGGGCACTGACATTCTAATTAATATATATATATATATATATATATATATATATATATATATATAATATATATATATATATATATATATATATAATAATAATTAAAAAAACAGGAAAGAAATGATTAGTTATCACTAGGTAATCAGTGCAATATAAATTAATTATTAACTTAATGATAGCAGGAAAACAGAAGATCTCTTTTCACTGCATTTCATTTTTCTTCTGTTCATTGCCTGGCCTTCTTATCATTATCTGAGTGTCAGCATGGCAGAAATGTGCGCCATATGGTTGACAACGTACTGCAGCGTGGACTTCTAGAGACACCGAGCTACCCTTATTGGGGGAACGTCAAATCCCACATTGAGTGATAATATAAACGTTTTAGACAACTTTGGTGCACTTCTGACAATAAAATGTCCAACTACTGTTGGCTAGCTCAAGCAAGCTGATGTTAGGTAATATAGCCCTCGTAAAAAGCCTTATTACAGTAGCATAATGTCTCACTAAAAAAATAGCATACAGTGATCTTTGGAGATAAAGATGCACCTGGGGCTCCTGACCATCCACGTTTATCACAGCTCCAGCTTTTATGAACTTCTAATTTGTTGCTCTGACTCTGAAGATGGGCAGTTTCAGATCATAGCTATCGTCTTGTAGCCATTTCCTGACTTATGAAGAAACCTATGGTGGAAGTATCAGTCACTATTGCCTGCCCGTGACTCACCTGTCCATGCCATAGATGTAGACAACAGAAATCATTTCAAAAAATCCGATGACCAGGAGCGGAATAGAGCCTGCAAAATTGTCAAAAAGAGCCAGCCAGTAGTTCCCAGAGCGAAGAGCGAAAATGAGTCCGAGAGCCAGAGATACGAAGCACGTCACACCTGAAAAGACAACGCAATTCGTCGCTCTCTTGACATCGGATCGCATATGGAGAAAGTTTGACTTTGAATTGATCAACGAAAGTAGGAGAAAATTACCACTGATAACTTCTTTGGGCCAGTGCCTGGGTAGTATTTTGAGATCCAGCAGAGGAGCTATAACACCCTCAATGCTGCCGAACATAGTCGAGAGACCAAGGCAGAAGAGCATGATAAAGAAGAGAACAGACCACAGAGGCGAAAACGGCATCTCTATGATGGCTTCTGTGAAGACAATGAAGGCCAGTCCTGTTCCTTCCACACCCTAAGGAAACACAGACCTCATTATTCTGCTATACACGGAAGACTTGTTTTCCTTTTTCTTTGTAAAAAAATGGAAGGATACGCCTCATCTTACCTGGCTAAGGAAAGTCTGCATGTCGCAGTTCTGTAAGGACAATCCCTGGATGATATCCGGACTTGTGTGGTTGAGGTGAGTCAGAATTTCGTTGTAGTTGCTCTGTGTGATGTTGTCCTCAGGGTAGTTGAAAGCGTTCATGAGCTTCAAGACATTGCTGTGAAAAAAGAAAAAAAAAAACACCTCAGTGTCATTTGAATCCAGCTTGAATAAAACAAGGTGACTTTGGAAGTATTTTGACTCACTCTCCGAAGCACTCGTCGTATTTCTGTGTTGCCCTGAAGCCGATGATGGAGTAAATGACGGTTGCTGAGTACACCGAGGTGCAGCCGTTGATGATGGAGATGAGGACGGCGTCCTGCTCGCAGTTATTGCTGAAATGAGGATTTTGAGGGCGTTTCTGTGAGGTGGGCTGGAGAAAAATACCCCCTCGTTTTTACTGAACCGCCAGCTCACTTACTGCACAGAGTTGTAGCTGGAGAAGGAGATGAGACCTCCAAAAGCCAGCGAAAAGGAGTAAAACACTTGGGCTCCTGCATCCAGCCAGGTTGAAGGATTCATTAGTTCATTTACCTGAGAAAGAAAATATGTAAAAACTACTAATACTTCCTAGAATGTTGTTAAAAGTTTTCCTTGGCCTTTGACTTTAACAATTACATATGATGGTATAACAAAGTTACAAGATTGTCTGTTTAATACAACAGAAAAAAAAATCTGAGTTCCAGTGTGTGAATTTGCTAAATAACATGAGCTGCTTTTCTTTCTAAGTGACGTCAGGTTGCCAATCTTAGTTCCATTTTGGACACACAAGTTTCGTCCCCTCCGATGTCCAGTTTGTACCTATGTAGGTAAACCACCGCATGCCAAGTTACTTTTCTTTGTAATAATGACAATAAATACCTATAAAAATGTGTAAATCCTCTGTAATTTAACTATGTACCTAACGCAATTTCTTCATCAATATTATTTTGGTCCAAAATGTTTGGGGTCCGGTAGAATCTAGATAAGGAGGAGGATGAGTGCTGATCAAACCAAACTTCTGCTAGTTGAAACTATTTTTTTGAACTTTTTCTATTGCAGGATGTTGCTGAGTTCAAGGTTTCCCCCAGAAAACTTGCTGACTCCGGTGGTCGTGTGCTAGGCCAGTCATTCATTCAGCGACCCGTTGTGTTTTTGAGTTTAAACATATTTAAAGTCGACAGGAAAATTTAACATATCACTTGATAATTTTGTGTTATTGACCGGAAGATTAAGACCTGAACACCAACTCTAAAGTCTTAAAAAATGCAAGCAGTTTAAAACGACTTAAATAAACAATCAGTGCTTTGCCTGGTGGGTGTGCAAGTAAAGCCTGGGGGCCCACCAGGCTTATAAAACACTGGGAGAAACCCTGAAGTTACTTTCAATTGTCAAGATGTCAAAGCTGGTACGAAATGCACTGGTACATCATGAAACATCCCATGGAGTTTCATTGTTAAGAAATTGGGTACAGAATCATCCAAACTACAAAGCTACAAAAGGAAACGAGGGGAAACGACCATCACCAGTTAGTTACCAGTACACTGGTTCAGCTTACTGGTTCGTCTTTCAAGGTGACATGATATTTTATCAGTTCTGAAATGAAGGTTCATGACAGGGACCTTGATAGTAATCTCATCTTTTTATCATTTAGTAGTTATCTCGAGTTTCTTCTCATCCCAGGACTTCTTCCAGTAGATTAAGATTATCATAAAGGTAAGAGGATAGATGGTCATTTCTGAAAACACGGGCTGTGTCCAGATAAGATTAATAGCACTTTTATGGCCTTCTTGTAAATGAAGGTTGCAGGTGGCAACTTTTATCTTTTACCAGCTGATAGATGAGCATGGAAATAAGTCATGACATGTGCTGTGTGTTTGTTGTGATCATTTTTTCCATCTTTTGCTGCGATGCAAGTTAACGACAAGCTGTTTTGAGCTTGAGCCTCGCTGTAGAAGTTTTCAAGATTCATTTTTAATTTAATCTCAAACAAAAACTGTGAGATTCAAGTTTAAAATCCAACACGGCTGCCCATTTGATTTAAAGTTCACTAGCTTTTAGAGCACGCATTTATGCTATTTAGTCGTAAATGCGTGCTATCTTATTGTCAATGAGTCTAATTCGAACAATAGCTTACACTAAATAATATTTTAAAACCTATCCGCAGCGCAAAGCCCAGTAAACTTCAAAGTGGATCATTTATTAAAATAGCAATGAATCAGATAACACAAACTTGATCGCCATATAAATTAAATTAGTCTATTAACTCCTGACTATACTTTGTGTTGAACAGAAACATAGCTCTCTTCATACGCATGAAAACAAAAGTGTGTTTGGGAGAATTTATGAGCAATTCAACAGGAAATTTAGCTGGTCAGGAATCAAAATCTCTCAAAATGTCTTGCCAATGGGACTAGGATTGAAAATGATCCCCCTGGCTGTAGGCGAACATATTTGCATCAAAAAGCTCATTGATATGTCTTGTCCTGTCTCATTTTTTTAAAATAAAGAAAATATATTGTAAGACTTGGCCAGCTGAGGACAAACCCCCCCAAAATGGGAAAAGAGGCATATCACGAAAGCCTGGGAAAATTCCTACAGTCAGATTAAATCATTATGTGAGATCTGAGCATTGTTTTTAGCATTATTTACCTACATGCTGCTTCAAATACTCAACTAGAAATGGAAATAAGTAAGCATGCAATGGATGAACACTGCAATTGTTTGGGATGAAATGGCAGCACATGAGAGAACCAATCGCTAAAGGAACAACTGGACTCAGCGGTTATTTCACTCTCCTGCTACAGATTGGCAGAACAAGAAGTGAATAAGAAGTCACACTCAACGTAGAAGTGATGGAATATCTGAACACTGTTTCAGCCTTTAATCTACTAGCATTTTCAGAAAGATAATCAGCTCAGAAGAGTTTTCAGACCAAGGAAAATGACCTTTGCCCAAACAGAATGCCATCATTGCCAAAAGACACCAATATAGTGCCAAGAAAGCTAGATTTGGAGAGATTTTATTTATCAAAAATAATCAAACATTCTTCTTTTCTGTTACTAGGTAATAACATTGCTTACATCTGGTGTGAAGAGGAACTTTATTCCTTCTGTGGAGCCTTTTAGAGTCAATCCCCGGATGAGGAAGATGGTGAGGACGAGATACGGCAACGTGGAGGTGATGTACACAGCCTTAAATTTAAAAAAAAGATGGACGTTTGAACAATGACACAGGAGTCACCGCAGCAGAAGAATTTTTGCAGATGCGACACGGCCTTCAAACCTTGCCGGTCGTCTCGATGCCCCGGATGCAGCAGACGTAAAGCACAGTCCAGGCGGCGATGAGGGCGAGAACCATCCACCACTGCAGCCCCCCAGACTCATCGATGGCTGTCGAAGTGTTCAGCGTTTCTCTGTACCAGAAGTAGTCCACGGTGGTGCTCCGCGCGCACTCCTCCACATACCCTTAAGCGGGACGGTAAAAATTCAAGCGGAAAACCGGGTGTCAAACCCCCTTCAGAAAACGTTTCACCCCGCGCCATAAAACCAAATGGGTGCTCCGCTTCAGGCACCTACCTGTCCTGTTAGCATTGAGCGGACACTGGCTCCAGGGCAGCGGGTCTTGGAAGGAGTTGAAGAGGTACCACATGATCCAGGCCATGATGGTGTTGTAGTAGACACCCACCAGGAAGGACACCAGCATGGAGGCAATGCCTGAAAGCCAACGAAAGACAAAGGAAACGTTTTCTACTGATGTTCCTGCAGCCGCGCTTTGACCAAGTAACTCTAACTCAAAATCATAATTAGTGGAGTTACTGTGTAATGCAATATCCTCTAATAAGAAACACCTGATTGTATTAAATCACACTTGAGATTTTAACAATTTTAGAATTGCTTTTTCCCTGAATTTGTCAGAAATACTCAACTACGAGAAACAGTAAGGGATGTTGACACTGTTCTGCTAACTACACGTTTTTCTGTTGCTTTAATGTTTTCTTGTGTACACACCAACTCCTGCCAGATAAGGATTGATGGATCTCCATACGCCCACGCTGCCTTTCCTCAGACGCTGACCGATGGCGAACTCTAAGTGCAGCAGCGGGATTCCCTCCAGAACCAGCAGGATCAGGAACGGGATCATAAACGCTCCTGAAAGTAAAAAAAAACACACACAAAAAAAACATTGTTCATATTTTGTCTGTTTCTACAAAGTAATGCACTTCTTCTTTTTTCTTTTGCTCTTTAGCAAGGTATTTGTATTTAGCAGTGGGTTGCACAAACAAGCAATCCCATAGAAACAGCTATAAACAAACCTGTAAAAAACGTTTTATGAACCATGACTCACATTTTTGTTTCCTATTGAAACAAATGAGAGTAATAAATTTTATTTCACTTTATATGCAGTAATCCATTTTTCTGAATGGATTAAGTTTTCACACATAAAAAAACTTAATGGACATTAAAGTTTTTTGTTTTTTTTTTAACTTACTTGCAATGATGTTTTCTTATGAATGATGCCTGAAATCTCTTCAAATAGAGCAAACTCCACGCATTTCCATTAAAGTCACTGACGCCACGACTCTCCTCTTACCTCCGCCGTGACTTTGACACAGGTACGGGAATCTCCAGACGTTGCCGAGCCCCACACAGAAGCCCACGCAGGTGAGCAGGTACTGGGCTTTGTTGTCCCACTGGGGTCTGTCCCCAGCCTCGTCCTTCTCCATCTTCTCCAGGTCCCCGTGGGACGGGATCCTGTCATCCAGTCCCGGATTTGGCAGCTTCAGCTTCAGCTTCATTGTGCCTCCTTTTGTAAACTTCAAAAAGGAAAAAAAAAAAAAAATGTAGCTCCTAAATCTGATTAACCACTTGTTACTCTTTTGCAAACCCTCCCAGCTGCCGTATCCTTTTTTTTTTCTTCTTCCAGAGAAACAGCCTTCTCTCTGGTTGCTGACTCGCTCGCTCTGAATCCTCAGTCCCTTCTGGAGTCAGTGAGGTATCAACTGCCACCTCTGGCACCTAAACTGCAGTTATCAGTAGGTCATTACTATCTGTGTTGCATTATGCAATGTCAGCAGGTATGCCAGGGAAAAAAACAAAGAAAAAAACCCAGCACCACCTCATTGATAGTGGTTAATGCATCACAGGAGCTGCTGGCGTTCACCTCTTCCCACTGATAAGTTTGCGCTTTACGTTTATGAAGACCAATCACGGAAGGACTAAAGTGCAATTCTAAGATATTTTTGAGGGACACCCTTTTATTTTCTTCAATAAAAAAGGCAAATATCCAGTCTCTCTTTGCGTGGCACTCGTGTAGATTCATCAGTAGCGTAATTTCTCATGACCAATTGAGTACGAGGAAATGTTTTCAGCAACTCTTTGCAATAATTAACCAAAGATGGGCCAACCAGTCAGCAAGGGGCTTATTTGAACCGAGTGTAAAGGTCACCTTTAAGACGTTCATGTTTTTAACATTTTCGCGTTTTGAATGCTCAAGAAAGAACGTCGGTTTGAGAACATGTCCATCTTTGTGTTGGGATGACAGTTCAGGTTCTTCAGCTGCAGAACTTGGGCACATTGCAGTCACTATCTTCCACTGTGGATACGCACAAAACTTTGTCTCAGTAGTCAAGGCCACCTAACCCAAGACCAAGACCAGCGCCCCGCGCTAGATGACACAATAAAATGTGAAATATTTTTATCAAATTGACCTGAAAGATTCATAACGCAAAGATATTTAATACTTGGAGCTGAAATAAATTCAACCAATATTAAAGGCAGAACAAACTCTCTGTTCTGCTTATCTAACACGATAAACGCCCAGGGTATTTGCCCATATATCATTCATGTCAAAAATCACCACCGTTTCCAGTATTAAACATAACATTTGAAGCAATGCCCTAACAGTAAACAATGCTCAACTATGAACACTGACCAAAAAGCAACAAGCAAGAAGCAACCAAGCACAAGACGCTCACCATGACTGTTCTCAGCCTGAAGCTGTAATGTCTACCATCATGGCAGACATTGAACAGAACAATCAAAGAGCAATGCACATGAATTGTGTGCTCTTTCATTCTTGTGTTGTATTTATTTTCCAATTAAATAAATATCAATGTATATAATAAAATGAGAGAAACCCACTGCGCATGTCCGTCTCAGAGCGCCGTATGTACCCTACAATGAAATTGCTGGAAACAAAACAAAAACAAAACACCTAAACCTGCTTGAAAGTGAGCTAAGTGAAATAACTGATCAACAGTAAAGTGAAACACTCATAACTGTGCAAAGAAGAAAGAAATAGATCAAATTTCAAGCACTAAAGTAAGATATAACATTTGGATGGTTTCCTTCAAAGCCAGTGTAAAGGTTGGGTTGCCCATGATGGAGATAGGTTTGTTCTTTAAAACAAATTGATTCGCCAGGATAATCAAAAGTAACATAACACTACATGGGAAAGTGGCTCGTATATTTCAATGACCCGACATTAAGGCTCTCAATTTCCTCGTTATCTCGTCTCGCTGAGGCGGGCGCTCAGTCAGTAAAGCAGTTGGCGAAAGGAACATGTGCGAAGCCCCAGGTGGTTTTATTATCGAGCGTGATGGTGAAGGTGGAGCCGGACCGAGGCTGAAAGTTCATCCACTTAACACGCGGCGACCTTAGATAGGCGAGATCAACACGCTGATAAGGAAGGGGCGAATGATGCACCACATTATGGCCCTTGTAAATGTTCCCTTTTAAAAGGCGTCTTTAGCAACAAGGTGGCGATTACAAGCATCTTCAAATGGTGTCAGTGAGCTTTAACAAGGGCTGGACGTAAACCATCTGCAGTCCCAGTTTTACATTAAGCGCTTTAGCTTGACGCTGCTGGAAATATGATGGCTGGCTAATTTTCTTTTTCCATTGTCATGATGACACAGATTTATGGCGCACTCTCAATTTTGTTGATTGTTTCGATAATCCATTAACTTGATAGGATTTTACACTATCGCTCATCGCCACAGTTTCTGTAAAGTCCCAGCATGACTTCATTGCCTTTACGTTTTGGGGTTTGAAATTCAGCATTTTGACTGTTTTGACTGTGCAGTTTGACATTTGGACAATAAATTCGCCCAGTGGAATTACACCAGTTTCGAAAAAACAGTTTGCTTAGAAAGTTTTGCAGCTAGGATCGGTGCAATTTTGTTTAGCCATATCAAAATTGGTTTATTTCATAAAACTACCATGGTAACCCTTTTATTTTTGAGTCACACAATCAGCAACTGGATGGAAAACAACAGGAAGTGCTTGGACCATCATGGCACGGCGTTGTTTTTTTTAATGACTTATCGTGTGAACAAACTACTTCTTTAATTTTGTTTCTTATTGAATGGAAACAATGCAATTGCAAAACTGTCTTTTCTTTTGAACATTACTGGAATGCTGTGCAAATTTCTAGTGGAAATGCAGCTATTACACTTCTTTCTGTTTGTTTTTTTATTATATTTTCTGCCATATTTCTTCTCAAAAGCAACTCGTGCTGCAAAACATGACACCGTGAATGATGTATCCTCTTTTAGCTGTCGTGTTTTTCATTTTTGTTATTCTCTGGTGAACGCTGTAGGAAACGCTCCAGTGTCCAGAGGGCTGATGATGGGAGGTCTCTGATCAGAATCTCATGACAAGAGGAATGTGCACTTTAGGTCACTCATATGATACAGTGCACTGCCCTTTCTTTTCAGTGTCAAGTATAAATTAACTTTTTTTTTTTTTGTGATATTCTCACTATTTGTACTCAACAATAAGACCTGAATTATTCATAAACTATAGCAGATTTGTAGGCTTAAGGTAATCTTTAAATTTTGTCAACATGTTTCTTCCCAAAACGTGTCACAGTGATTTCTTGAAATTGCCTCAACCTGTGAAAAAGAGGCATATTTTATAGATCCTTCAAGGTAAACCTGCTTATTTACGAACTGTGCCCTCTGCCACTGTACATATTACTTAGTTGGTTCATCTCTCATTCAGATCTTCTAGAAATCTCATATTAGAAAGGATTTTTGTCTATTGTATTTTGTAATGGCAAGAAACACTTTTCCCAACAGGACGGTGCCTAATCTTCTCCTGTATCATTTCACGAGATTAGAGAAAACAAGGGAAGTGAACTTTGACCAATCCTCTTTACACAGTCTCTTAAAATCATCATCAAGGGTCTTCTATGCTCTCTTTTACTTCCATCACAATCTTTTCTTTCAAAACATTTTAGTCAGGGGAGGGGGACATATGAGATAGTGGTTGATTTTGTGTCCAATACCTAATTTCTCTTATAAATCGGATCATTTTTCTGTTAAAGATCCAGCTTCGGAGCCACAGCTTTACATATTCTAAAGTACAGAGTTTCTGTTGATGCAAACTCATCTCTTAAATTCAGTTAAAGCCTTAATGTGGTACAACAAACTGCTTTTTTCTGACATGCATCCCAGTCGGTGGTTGGTATGAAATGAGCTTCTAGTGGTTATCATGGAGACCAGGTGACCCTGAGATGCTGTTGTTTTCCAAAACCTCGATTTGGAGATTCAGCTGTTGAAAAAGGATTTTCACTTTGTGCTTCTGCGACAAAAGTTGATTTGTCTTTTTGTTTTTCTAAATAAATAAAAAAGCAATAAAGCTTTCAGCACATCTTCAAAAGTGATGACAACAAACGCTAAAGGCACTGGTTGTGTATCACAGACTCATAGCAGGCGGAAGACAGCAAAATGAATTTATGACACTTTTACAGCCCCCACCCCACGTGGCGTCATAACGCTGGTGGACACAGAGCAGGAGAAACCAAAGGTTGCGGCCAAGAAAACAACACGAGCAGCTTGCAAGTAAAGAAAACACGAGGCACAGAATGCTTTTTTTTTAAAAAGGGATATATTTTTGACTTCATTTAAATTTTTAGTTGCGGTTGGAGCTTATGCTCTGCCTGGTTAGTGTTTGTTTTTATTAGGAAGCGCTGTGTGTACAGGCTAAATAGCATGAAGTCCTTTATTTATTGACACGTTTTAAATGAACCATAATCAAACACGTTAATAAATGAGCCTCTTAGAAGAGACGTTGTACTCCTTTCCAGACTGTTGAATCTTTGTGTTTTAGGTCAAAGCAGCTCAGATTGTGACTTGTGGCTGTTTTAGGTCCTTCGTCCTTCTTCGCATAATCAGGCAGTTTAAGTGATTATTAATTGATCCTACAGATCAGTTGAACTCATCTGCCTAGAAGGACATGATTAATGACATTTCATTTACATTTTTATGAAAGGCAAAATCAAATCTCAGTCCTGTCAATCATCCTTGTGTGTACGCCGCTCATGCATGGCCACCAATGACAGCGGATAAACATCTTTAATGGATCAGTTAAGTTGTTTCTCCGCACATTTAGCAGTGTGTACATAAGCTGATTGACAGCGGTAAGACTCTCCTCCTGGCTCTGGATGCTTTTTTTTTTTGTTGAGAATTGCTGTTGCAACTCAGGGAAGAGGTGGAAAAGCTTTATTTTTTCACAGATTGTCCTTCCCATAAATAATTTTATCAAATTTGTTTAAAAAAAAACAAAAAACAGGTTGTTTATTATATGCTGTAGTTTTAATATAATCATAGTTTAAAACACAGGTCGTCTTTGTCGTATATTAAAAAAAAAAAAAACAAATATTTCACACAACAGGACGGCAACACGCCTAAAAAATATTTACATCCCTCAAATTAAAAGTGCGAGTCATTCGTTGCCGTTGAATCGGTATCTGAGCATTTTATTGTAAAGACTCATCTGAGTTAATATTTAACGCAAATGGCTTTAAAGCGAGTGTAAATGCTGGCTCATGGTGACACATCCCAGTTGTATAAGGCAAAGCTTTTAGTAGTTCTATTTCAAGCCTTTTAAACGTTAACCTTTCTACTTTTCGTCATTAGTTTTGAAGATTAAAATGGAGTGTTGGCTGAAGTGAGGCCTCCCCCCGCCCGCCTTGTGTGGATGCACCGGAGGTCTGAAACGCTGCACAAGTCCAAGACATTACAGGCTGCATAAATAAACAGCTGGGGAGCTATTATGTACCATCGCCGTCTGTTTTATTTGCTTTTTCCGTCCCCCATGTTGAGAGATCTGTTTTCCAGGACCGTGTTTTAGGCTGTCACACTGTGACAGATCCAAAACAACAGCATGCTCTGTTGACATTTACGTGCTTCTCCTCAGAGGACGGTCTTATGACGGAGACATGAGACAATGTCCCCACCAGCACTAAAAGGAAATCGGTGCAGCGCATTAAAAAAAACACAAAAGTATCTCCACACGAACCTCAATGTGTTTTGTTGTGATTTTATGTGACTGAGTTAATTCAACTCAAATGAAAAATGCTTTGTTGGTCCCAAAACGGATCATTCCATGTTGTTGTGACTCAGTTTGTTTGTTGTCGATGGTGACGGCCCTGGCGGGCAGGAGAGATCTCCTGCAGCGATCTGTATCGCAACGAATATGAAGACGCCCCTGACCAAAGTCTCATGAAGTCACGAAATCCTTAAAGTTGTTTGTTAAATTATGGGGAAAGAAAGATGTTTGCTTTTGAAAATGGCAATTGGAAAGAATTGACAGCACTTGTTCCAAGTTGTGTTGAATTATTATTTTCTTTCCTCTCGAAATTCCACACACAATTCCCCTGTTTCGCATATTTATCAAAACAAACAAACAAACAAAAAACAAATCAAGAAACCTTTTTCTTGAATTTTACTGATATCATACATAAGTGTTCACAGCCTCTGCTGTGAGGCTCATAAACAAGAGGTTTCCACTGGTTATTGTTGAGATGGTTTGTCAGATTAAATGTGGTAAATTCAGCTGATTGTCTCCATAAAACACCTAGAATTAAACCAGAGGAATCGTCTGGCTAACTCACAAGCCTATGATGATAAAATGTTCTAAAAACAAAGTTATAAATGTCTGCATCCTTCAACCTTTGTAAAAATGGATTTAGATTTTGTCCCAATCCCCGACCAGAAGGTCAAAGGGCTCGAAAGATTCAGTAACTCTTGAAGGCAGGAGCAACTGTCAATGAGTGACACCCAGAAAGAAACCAGTGACAAATAGACTGTATGAAAACTTTGTCATCTTTTGAAACACAATAAATTTGCGATTTGGCTGTTCTGATTGAATCCCTCAATTTCTGCCGTCAGGACGCCGACATTTCACTTTTGAAAGAAACTCGAAGCAGAAAAAAAAAGAAACAATCTGAGAAAATCTCACACAGCTGCGCCTGCCTGACCAGGAAGAAACGCCACAAGCCACATGTCCAAAGGTTGAAAGAGGAGCTGCCAAATGCACAAACAGATTTGCAGATCCTCAGCAAAATCAGCCGAAGCTGGACTTTGTCACTTAGTCACCGGTGTAAAACCGGATGCTCTGATAAGTGAGTTATTTATGCCATGCAGTCGCCTGGAAACTGTTCAGACTATACAACAAACGCAAAGGAAAGCAAAAAGTTGGTTTTTTTTTCAAAATGTTACTTTCTGTCCTCATCTCGCTCCTCTAGAAATTAGGTGCCAAAAGTAGAGCTAAAAACATGCCGCTGTGAGAAACATTAAGTCTGCTGCAGGTGAAGATTCTGTGAAATATTTCTTCGATTTGAAAAATAACGTCTCAACAAAACCCTTTTCATTCAGTCTTCATAATATTTCCCTGCGATTGGAGCTCCAATTCAGATTGGCGATGAAGTCCAGTCACAGCTCAGTGTTAGAGTAAGCCTCCTAAACAAAACTTCAGTGGATATGTGAGAAAACTTTGGACTTTTATAAGATTTAGTTTAGGTTTTCCAACCACTCACTCTGTTTTAACCCGAGCCAGCAAACCAGCTCCGGTTGAAACAGAAGGTCTCTTCCCTCTTGTGGTAAGAAGAAGATACTTTTTCCAATTCTTCTCTTTAATCACCCAGGAAGTTAATGCTAGATTTAGCTGCCCGACAGCCAGCATCTTCACTATTCATTTTGATTCGTTAAAAAGATATATATATATATACTTTAATGTTTAGTGGCTTATCGTTTTAAGGTGTTAATGAATGTGTCAGTCCTGCGTAATCACAACAGTTTTCCGAGGCAACCAGCAGATGGCAGCAGCATCGCGATACTGATATCTTTTTCACATTGGTTTTTACAAGATAGAATCGTCGACTATGACCGATGTTTTTCTAGGAATTCTTTATTTTTTATTTTGTGTTCATTATTTCAAAATGACATTTTTAAACTAAATCAAAGTTACTTAAAATCAATTTGACATTTTATTATCTATAACATTCTATACACATTTTAGTAAAGGTGTATAAAGTATTTGGTCATGTAAAAACATCAATTTTCGCAGAAAAAAAGAAAAAAATCAAGCAAAAATAAAATCTTTTTTTTTGTTTTTATTGGTCCAGTATAGCACATATAAAGCACGGTGCGGTTTGCTCGTGACTAAAGAGGCTGCGGCTGCAAGGTGTGACCACGAGATGTCGTCAGAGATCAACAATTTTTCACAGGAATCGCGTTCAGAATAAAGTTCCGGTGTCAATAAATAACATAAACAAATGAATAAATAACAACCAAAACAAAGCGGTGTAGATTGCCTAATTTCCCACCCTAAAATCTTGTCCTGAACCCCTCATTATTATTATTATTATTATTATTATTATTATTATTTATTTTTTTTCTACAATTACTATTCAGTTTAAAATGTTTTCCTGTTGGTGTTGTTGGAGATGACCATCGGATTATTGCTGAGATGATTTTCATGGAGGAAGCCACTGGAAAGCAGGAGAGAGTGAGGGAGGAAGAGGAGGAAGAGGAGGAGGAGAGCCGAGGGGAAAATAGACACAGCTCAGTCAGAGAGGGGTGGGGTGGATTAGGCTCAGACAGACAGCAGACCGGCTCTCCCAGCCAGGCTCCGCTGATCCTTCACTCTCCGCTTTGCTCCCTCCTCTTCATCACCGGCCACCTGCCTCTCCGAGAATAACTCCCGACCGCTCAGGACCGGGCGAGCCTCGGGGGGCGGGGGGAAAGGGCGACATCGGTGTCCCGATTGCACCTCTCCGACACCCGCGCGCCCACTTCCCCACTTTCGGGGGATTTGTTGTTGTCGCTACCGGCCGAGGAGCGCTCCGGCTTCTGCCCCGTCACTCCCTCTCCTCCCCCAAAGACCCCCTCTCGACTGCCCTCCTGCCCTCCACCCTGCCCCGTCCGTCCCCTCAGAAGGAGCCACTTGCATGGATGCAGCATGGCCACGTTCGTCTGCAGGGTTCAGTTTTTAGATGACACCGATCCGTTCAACAGCACCAACTTCCCAGAGCCGACCAGACCCCCGGTGTACACCTTCAGGGAGGACATCCCCCTCATCAACCAACTAGCGGGCGTCCACCGGCTCCTCAAAGCCCCTCACAAGGTAGGATATTCCCTCTGGTAAACACCTTCCTTTATGGAAAGTAAAGCAAAACATGGGATGTTGATGAGCTGATCTGACAGAGATCTGCAGTGGAATATGAGTTTGTTTATGTTTTTTAATGTTTGGATGTGTTTGGGGGGAAGGAAAGTTAGAGCAGAACCACATGGAGTTTTTGGACTTCTGTTTGTCTCCCTTTCAAGGCTCCTGCAAATACACTCCAGCAACCAGCATTCAGAGGCTATTTTCAGAACACAAGTGACTCCAATCTGTGGAATGAAACAAGGTTGCCACAAAGCCTTCAGCAGCTTCGAAACACTGCCTTCGCTTATAAGAGATTAAATATCCAGGGGCGGTCGCAGGAAGGTTCTAAGAAAGAGCGGGGGTCACTGATAAGCTGGGTTGGCACACGTTAAAAAACAAAAGCCAGAATAAAATTTCAGTTTTTATTGAGTATTTCTCAATGAAGCACACTTTTTTTTCTTTTCTTTTAGGTTTTAAGGCGTATACTGCCCTCACTAGTTCTACCAGTTCAAGAGGTGTTTCCTTTCAACCCTGCCGATTTAGGGGTTCCTCTGTCTCAGAATGAAGACCCCCTCGGTCTTCATTCTGCTACATGTCGAGTGAACCCGGCTGCTGCATGTCTGTGCTCTGCTCGTCACTCTAACAGGTGGCTGCAAACGCAACAGGGCGACTAGATATATATCCTCCTCTGCCCCCAAGTGACAGTCCCACCTCTCAGGCGCCCAGTAACCCCGATCACAGACGATCGGCTCAGTCAGAGGAGCGTGTCGGAGCAGGAAAGACGCAGCTTTAGGGCCGTTTTGATGGGGAGAAAAGATGACGTTGAACCAAAATGGTACATTCCTCACTGACAAGGCTGTCTGGAGCACATGATCACGCCAGGCATGGGCTGGTATGACATTCTCCAGGGATGATAGAATCGAGTAAAAATAACATGTTTTCCACTCGATATTGGTACGAGCACAAACATTTCTGAGGGTTATTATTGGAGATACACTGATTTCTGATTTTCCTTGAGATCTGACTGGCCGTTTCTGTTCTGACTGACGTTTTAAAATAACATCAGAACTCAGAGATTCTTTGGCAAAGTTGGTTTCTATTTCTGTATCATGGCACGTGTTCCTAAACTTTTATATTCATATGTTATTAAGCTAAAAAAAGAGTTTACTAAAGTGCATGCTCTGAGTTAATGTATTTTTAGAAATAAAAACAGTGGAAGTTCTTATGTCTTGATGAACAAGGGGAAAAATATCCCTTTTTAAAAATTACTTGACCAGCTGAGCTCCAATGTCCTGATTTGGGTTGCATGATATTGGAAGATGTTTCTGGATATATGTGGGATGTAGCCACATATATCACTGGAAAATGTAATTCTACTGCATGGCACCTAAAATATAACAACTAATATTACATTTTGGCTGCTCTTTGTGGTTGTGATACTGCAGAGAGTGTATTGGAATGACAGTTGTTTGATATGTCTCCCAAGTTAAGTTTGCAGATGATGTACCAGGCCGTTAGAACATGTTGAAGGTGACGGGGCCTCGCAGACTGCGAGCAATTTCCTGGAAACTCGAGAAATTGCAGAAAATTTCCTCCAATTCTCGACTATCAGCACATGAATAGTCGGTCGCAACTGGTGTTTCTTGAGCTTAACCCCGTAGAATACCTTGTAGGTAAATTAGAGTAGAGATCAGGGGGGTGTCGATAAATGGACCAGCCGATAAATTGGATCTGTTTTCCTTAATTTTAGGACTTGGATGAGTGGCCGATACTTAAATGTGAAGCTGATCTTATCTACCTCTTTAAGGTCTAAAAATTTGCCACAGTACTCTGAGAGCGGATTGGCTGACAGACCCACCCGGCGGGTCATGTCTTCGTGTTTGCAGTGGGCAACGCAGTTGGCAATCTACAAAAAGTCACATAAACAGACTGCTAAACCTCGAAGAAAGCTTTCAAGTAAATACTTTCAATAGTACAATGGAATCTCAAATGGTCAATCTTGTTTCTCGTGCATAAACTGTAGTAGCTCTCTCTCAGCTAGCTGCTAATGCTGACCAACAAGTGGGGAATGCTTCAAAGCATAAACTCTGGTGGCACATTCTCTGGCATCTCATTGAAAGCTCGTTGTACCGTAGGATTGCACGATGGAGAATTCCAATGGTTTTAAAATCGTAACTCTTTAGTGCCTCGGTATCGGTAACCAGCCGATGCCCAGAACTCACCCAGACGAGCCGTCAAATTGATGCAGACCTTATTATATGCCCTCTCTCTTGTGTGATTTTCACATAACCAGTCAGTAAAGTTTAAATTGAAAATCAAAGGGAGACTCGGGGAGTTTGAAGTGCTGCCGCATGACCCCGTCTGCGAGCCAGCACTCGACAGCAGAATGGCTTTTTCCAAAACCAGTGGATCTTGTGCTGCCCGATCCTTAAAAGCCACAAAACAAATGAAAAATAGCCCACAGCACAGAAAAGCTTATGATTACAACTTATGCAAGGACAGATGGTGCAGTCTGTGTTTGTGTTTGCAATTTTATTCCCATCACGGAGGAAGACCGTGTGCTATGGCAACTGGATATTGTGCTTGGATTATAGGGATGGGATGGAATCGCTGCGTTTTTGCCCGTCGCATAGTCGGGATTCAAACTTCGGTGCTTTCTAAGGATTTACTCTGGAAATAACATGGGGAAAATCTGAAAAATGACCCTTTTTTTAAGTGATTTGTTTCGCTTGTTGGGTTATTTCTCAGTCTTACGAAGCGGCCTTTTCTTCTCACTGTACTTCAACGTCCTGAACTTTTCTCCCTGTGTTATTATGCTGCGATGGGAGAATTCTGCGCCGGACCGGCTCGACTGCATGCAAAGTATAGGTCACTTGTCCCAGAATTCCTGTGGCCGTGGCCTGGATCCTTGCGACACTTTGTTCTCCTCACTTTGGGCTCTGTGGTTTTCCTGTCCTCTTCCTCTATGTCCTCTTCCACCTCTCTGACCAAACACAACTATAAACACACAGCCCGGGTTGCTAGGGCTAAATCGGAGAGCCTTGGATGTGTTGCTTGGTCCAAACTGCTCTTTCCCTTCTGTCAGAACAGCTCGGATAAATCATCATCAAAGAGAAACACGTCAGGTCGAGCTCGCCGCACCGGTTCCGGTCTGATGCAGCGATACCTTTTTTCATATCTTGTACCTTCACAATAGCAAACTTCAGCGAATTTCAGTGGGATCAAGGTAGAGTTTATGCGATGTTTTGGTCACAACAGCTCAAAGTGTCACGTCTCGCGGTGGGGATGGGTTCGCACGTTCGCCAGAAAGTAACATTTTGTTTGTAAAGTCGACCCTCAAAAATGGTTTTCCTGCTGCCGATTGTTCTTCCATTGCACACAGGTTGACGCTCTCCACTAACGAGGTGATTTCTGAAGGTTTTTATTAAGAATAAGCAGATCAAAGACAAAATGTACAAAAATATATTAATCAAAAGAAAATAAATGACAAAAAAAGCAAATAAAATATTATTCCAAAGCCATGTCAAAATCTATTTTTTCCTGAAGACATTTTCCAAACTCTGTTCCTGTACAAATGCATGCCACACTTTCCAGATTTTTAGTTGTAAACAGTCTGAAAATGGTGTGTTCTTGTCTTTCAGTTTCATTTATGTGTTTCCCAGTGAAGTCTGTGGCCGTAATGCCACACAATGCGTCCAAGGGGCATGAATACTTTTGCAGGGCGCTGCATCCTTTTACAATAAGAAACTCCCTTCCCCTACAAAAATAAATAAATAAAACCCAGTACATCCTGCACTTCAGAGGTCGACTTTTATTGAATTAGCGAATAGCTCTTGTTAAAGCAGCGCTGAGAGACTTAATGGCCACATGGAAAAGCCCTCCCCTCCCACGCTCTTTATAGAACAGAATCTCCTGCGTCTCTAAAAGTCGCCGGCTAAATTACGTAAGGGCATCTATAACTGTCGACTTACCACCATCATCGGCAGGCTGGGTGTTATTTTAACATGGAAGTAATTACATCCCGCCCCTCTCGCCCTCCTGTCTTTTTGTTTTTTTTCTTCTTCCTCTCTTTGCTTCACTCCTTCTGGGAGAATTTGATCAAATGGGTGTAAAGCAGATCGGTCTCGCTCTGTTCCTCTGGCCCCCCGTTTTGAGGGCCCGACTCGCTTCCATCTACAAACAGCGAGACGCATTTTTATTACATTATTACATTACATTATTACATTAATAACTGCATCACTCGAGACCAATGGGAAGAGACGGGCTTTGGTTGACTGTGTATTGGGAAGCTGAGCAGTGTGTCTGTGATGTTTTCCTTGTCTCTTCTATGTCACATAATCTTTCAGATAAAAAGATGAGGGAGGTCGTAGCTGCTGTGGTGGATGATGCAAGAGTTTTGAATCCATCAGAAAATGATGAAATTACAAGATTATTGTCATTAATGCATCAAACCATAAAGTATCTGCCGTTTTTTTATTTTGCCAACCACAGATTCCAGTAGAGGTGCGTTTTTCAGTAAGTCAAAAATCACAATCAATCAAGTAAAATTTGATCAAATTTTACAGGTTACTTCTTTACGTAACCTGTAAGTAATCGTCTTTTTGGTAAAAAAAAAATAAAAAAATGGAAAAAATTTGGGGAAAAAAACAAACAAATAGCTCAAAATTGGAATAATCAAACCTTTAAAGAAGAAAAAAAAAAAAGAAAATAAGTGATCAGTTGTAAAGAAATACCTGACTGGTGAATTTCTGAAGAGGTGAAAATTGAGGTGATGTTGGAGAACAAAGGTGGAATGGGATTAAAAATGCTTTGGTCTAATTCCCACAGCAGGAAATAAAACAACAAAAACAAAACAAAAAACTAGGGCAGTGGGACAGGACATGAACCCCCCACCCCACTTGTTTCCACTCCTTTTGTCCAAGTCCTGGGCAGATTTACCAGTTCTCACACACATTGAAAGTGTGAACAACAATGGTTTCACATTTGGGATTAACTGTAGGTGGATTCACCTTACCGCACTGTGTTGTATCTGGTTTTAGACATAAAAACCCAGATTTCTGTTTCATAAAACCCTGCAAACCAGGACAATTTTGGCCATGGAATAAAAATTTGGACACTTTCAAAAATATTTCAACAAAATATTTTTGTTGAAATGTGCAGCGAAAACAATTTATAAATTGTTTCACTTTTCCCCCCCATTAACATTGACCTAATGTTGTCGTGAACACCAACCTCCCCTCAGTAAAAAAAAAAAAAAAACTTTTTGTCTGAACATGATGCTAATATAGCTTTAGCATTCTGGGTTCCTCTTTTTTTATGCTAACTTTTCTTTCGTAACCATTTTCTTTTTTTGCAATTCTGTGCTTCTTTTGTGTTTTGCTACCTGCCACGTTGTGCTCTGTTTGAGAAAACACACAAACCACAGGTGTTGAGCTGGCCAAAACATCTCTGCTGTAGGACTTGTGTGCATTAGCGGAGCGTTTTGCTAAGTGGATTAGCTCGTTGACACAGATGGATAATGTTGTTCCGAGGGAAAGGGAGGGAACCTGGAGCAGGACTGGTGTCATTATGGCTGATTATTGTGTAAGATTAGGGCAACTTCTTCTTGGGTTGACTTAAAAGAAGAGCGATAAAAGAGAGACCTGAGAAAATATGCTAATGCTGTATCTCAAACAGTACCTGTTTTTATTGGTACTCTGTGGAAATGTACAAATTAATTATTTCCAAGACAAATACAAATAATTTCATTGCTTGCAGAGCCACCAACAACCAAAGAAGGTGTGTTGCCTGAAGCAGAAACTTTCAGAAGAAGCGAGCGTTGAAGAGGATTCTGACTCCACCGTGTGTTACGTTCCAGTTAACTCTGAGGTTTCAGATGTGGGGATTACATCAAACCCAATTATGCTCCAGTTCCAAACTAAAGAACCACTGGGATTCTGTGTTAGGTTTGCTTAGCGACCAGGCCGGCTGCCTCTGGCAATGCAAGTCAGTCTCTGCATTGTATTTGTGGAACAAGTTCAGTAAACAAGATTAAATTGTACAGCAAAAGAAAAAAAAAACAACTTTGGTGTTGGCTTTTGAAGTAAAGGTTTGTGACTTTAATTTAGGAACGTTTCTGTTAAAATTGAAAATCTTAACAAAATGATCAAAATGGTGAACGTCCTTCAACCAATTTACCAGCACCAAATGAATAATGACAATCTGGCTCTAGTGAAAAAGTACTGGAGCCATTGTCCTCGTCTGAGCTCAAACACCTTTGGGAATTTGCAGCAGACCTTCACTGGTAGACACACGCAGACAATCCGGTTTAATACGAATGTCCTAACATTCGATTTCAACTCTATTTATTTATATTTGTTCGGAAATCAGACCCGAAAATCTGATGTTCCATTTGCTAATCGTTGGTCAAAAGACATCTGTCTGTTGACGATCTGGACACGTTCAAATCAACACGCTAACGTTGGTGTCTGTCTTGGTTGAGCCCCCATTTGACTTGAGGTCCTGGGTGGACTCACCCACCCTCTACGCCCCGAGTACATATAGCAAGAGTTATATTTATGCTGCGAGTCCGTCCGACAGTCCGTCCTCGTTTCTGCGTGAAAAGGAAGGACGGACGGACGGGGAGCAGGAGCAGGTTTTGCTCTGGTCACAAAGTGTCGTCTGGTCAGGTCACTTGAATGGTCGGCTGTGGAGGTGTGTGTGTGTGTGTGTGAGAGAGTTTTTTGGCGGCACATCTAAGCTTGTGATATTCCCAACGATACCACCGACCTGCTAAATACCGATGGATGACTCCTCTGATCTCCAAGTCAAGTTTATTTGTATCGCACATTTCAGCGACAAGGTGGTTTAAAGTGCCTTACAGCGTAAAAAACAAAGCAAAAAGTCATATAGTCATCAGTTATGAAACAAGCAACAAACATTACATTTTGTCAAACGTCAAAATCATCAAGTAAAAGCACCTCATGTCGATCAAAGGCAACTCTAGACCGTGTTTCAGCTGTTTGGCAGCGTTCTAGACGTTTGTTCTGGATTTGTGGTGCAGAGGACCTGGATGCTGTGTTTGCTTCTGGGGTTAGCAGAACCAGAACGACCCAGTGACAGGTCTGGAAGGTTTGATACAAACGGCTTTTAACCAGGGACGACGAGGACACTCGCAGGTTCTCTGCTGCAACAATGATGTAAGTTGCTTTTTGTGAGACGTTTGCACCTGCTTCCAACTTGTGACTGCCTCATAAAAGATCCACCCGGTGGGGTGCAGATACATGACCGTGCACCTGGTTCCAAACCCAGCAGGGTTTCCCGTTACACACCAAAACCAAGTCAATCTTTTGCAGTGTTTTTCTTTTTTGTTGTTGTTGTTTTTTTTGCCGATTGAACATGATCTAGGTGCGAGATCCGAGTTGTTGTTTTACGAGAAACAGACTGCGCTGACTCATACATGTGAGAAAGGTTTTGGGTGAAACCCCCTGCACCCCGGTCACAGATGCAGAGCCTCCTAAAAATGCTGAATTTTCACGCGTAATACGAGTTTAAGCAAAATTCAAGTGTCACATTTCCTGCAGCTGGTGTTTACATGCACTAAGAGTTGCCCCTTCGCTCTGTGTCCCTCTCTGCTTTTGGTTTCACGTCCCTGCAGCTTTATTATGAGTTAATTCCCTCACCAGCTCCGCCGTAATGCCAAAAGCAGATACCCCCCGACAAATGTACATGGCGCTTGTTCGAACCAATAAAGCGGCTTTATTTCAGAGGCTCACGTTGTTTCTTCTCATTCAAGGGTGTGAAACACAAATAGACGTAAGTTAGTGACTGCTGGAAAAGCGGGTCCAGTCGCCTGCGTCAATCACCAGGTGGACTTTACTAGCCTTTCCCGGGGGCCAAAAGCAAGGTGTGAGTGGCGTTGAAACGGAAGCGACGAGATGTTTTTGATTGTTCTCTGTTTCATCAGGCGCTTTCTTTCTCGTGTTTTCGCAGCTCGACGATTGTACACTTCAGCTGTCCCACAATGGGACCTACCTGGACCTGGAGTCCTCGCTGGCCGAGCAGAGGGACGAGCTGGAGGGGTTTCAGGCGGACGATGCGGGGTAAGAGACTTCCGCTCATCACCGCATCACCGCAACCAGACCAATGGCTCTTCCGCCCTTTTGGCCTTCACAAAACATTTCCTCCGAGTTCCTTCTTTTCTCATATAACGAGCAGAATCAGAAGCTGCTGGATGTGGATTTTTTATATTTTTTTTGTTTTCTCTCTCTTTTTTTTTTTGGAAGCACGAGTTCATGGAAAGTATGAAGCTCTCCGCAAAGCAGGTCAGATGTGCCCTCCTTTCCAGAGCCATAACTCTTCTCTGTTTTTTCTTCTTCTTCTTTTTCTTCTTTTAATAAATGACATACTAGTAAAATAAAAAAAATAAAAAATAAAAAAAAAAAACTGGAAGGTATGAAGGGCAGGTTGTGCTGAGACTAAATTGTGGCAAAAAAATAAAATCGTCGTCACGTATATCGCTGTACTTTTCCAGTTTCTCCCCTGAGGCGTCAGGATTTGCTATAAAACCTGAAACTATGAGAACATTCGTTGCCATTTGCGAGGGTATTAATACCCACTGCGATTTTCCACACTTTGTCACTTGCAACCACAAATCCAATGTAATTTATACTCCAGACTAAGAGTCAGCAACCTTTCACAGTCCGAGGAGTCGTCTTTTTTTTTATTTTCGTAGTGGAGCGGAAACAATCCCAAAAGTTAATATTTTGACCAGTTTTTGTTTGCTTTTTCTTTTTTATTTGCTATAGGAAACTTGTTTTCATGTTTCAATTCAAGAACAATTTTACTCCTAATTTTAGGTTTAATATATATTAAAACATACCATTACAAAAAGAAAATAAATAATTTTTATGTGAAACATATTAATAAAAAAATACTTAAAAAATGTATTAATTTATCTTTCTGCTAATATTGTTTTTCTATTGTGTTAATATACTTTTTTGCCATAGCAACTAGACATCGCCTGAAATCATTTTGCATTAGTGTATATTTAAAATAAAACGTTCAGTTCTTTATAATTTTCGGCCATTAAGAGTCAAGAGTATCGTAGCGCCGACCTTTTCCCGTCTGTTGCTGTGCACTGATTGTCAGCTGGCTGCATGACAGCTTGCTTCACTCTCTTCCTTCTTACAAGAAAGGGAAATCAAGCTGTTGGAAATCTTCCTGTTGTCATCAAAGTACTGTAATCTGTCAGCACTAGGCTCAGTTATACTCACTGTTTTCATCGCAAAAGGTCATCGCTCAGAAACAATGACCATTACAGATACATCTGCGCTCCAAGAACAAGTGACTAGAAAACATTCTCAGAGTTTTGTTGTCATCACAGCCCCGTTTTCAAGACCAACCAAACAAATCATGTCCTGTTAGCATAGTTAGCCTTAATAGCTTGTGGTTGTTGTTTATTTTTTTGCTCTCTATAATTGGAAATACTTTGGTGAGGTTAGGACGATATTCAGTGACATAAAATAAAAAACATTGAGCACACTGAAGGAAGAAACAAAAACGCAAAGTATTTTTGACTTGCTTTCTGGTCTAAACATTTAAATTATAACATAATTAACTGACAAGTAACTTGTCAGAAAATAACTTGGACCTTGTTTGAAGTCAGTAGTTTCTGAACATTGCTGATAAAGTTGTAGTTCTACTGGCAGATGTTTTCAATTATAACAAGACATTAAACCCATGTAAAAAGGATTAGAAATCTGTCAGGGGAGCTAGTAGTTTTTTTTTTATTTATTTAATTATGCCAATATTAAGAAATTATTGACTAGGAGTATAACACCTATAACTTCCTGGAAAGTCACTTGTGAGTTAGCACACCTGAATGAGACAGGACTAAGATATTTGCACTAGAAATTACACAAAAGACACTTTGTGAGCAGCAGAGCGTTTGAAAACCCAAAACAATCTCGAATGCGTTTGACAGCTAACTCCTCGCTTAACAACGATCAACCTCTGCCATCTTTAGCAAATGAATGAAACCACACTTTAGAGGAACTTTTTTGTTGTCTGGATCTGTTTTTTGTGCCTGAAGCGTGTTCCAGTGAGAACCCTGAGTATCACGCACACACACACACACACACACACACACACACACACACACACACACACACACACACACACACACACACACACACACACGCACACACACACCCACGCACACACACACGCACACGCACACACACACACACACACACACGCACACGCACACACACGCACACACAGCAGCTGCATATGGGGGGCTGCCTGCACGATTGGGACATTGTGTGTTCGTGGCGAGCTGTGGTATGTTGATCTGTTTGTGGTCGGTGCTGGCTGTCCCCCAGATGAACGATGTTCTTTGTGTCTGTCTGTATGCATGCTTGTTTCCATGTGGACATTTCTTAGTATCTGTGTCACATGCGTCCAGAGGACGGACAGGTGAATAATAATTTATAATAAATATTTCTGACTGGGTTGTATTGGTATGACTTCCCTGCCCCAAGATCGCTCTTTAGGATGGACATTTATTCAAATTTGTAAGTTGTTTACAGTCAGAATTACTTATTCGTTTATTTATGGGTTTAATTTGTGTTCTCTAGTTTAAGATCTCGTAACTGCTTTGAAAATCAACAACATGTGTTGAGGCTAATGCTTGATTGGACGTGGCTCTTTGTTCAGTTACGTAATGGGGGGATTTCCAATACCTGCATTTGACAAATCCCTGTTTTATATTACACACACACACACACACACACACACACACACACACACACACACACACACACACACACACACACACACACACACACACACACACACATACACAGCGCACGCGAAAATAAATGGTTTTACCTTGATTATCTTTATACTAAATATTTCAACTTCTCAGATGGACGGGAGGCCAAGAAGAAGGAAATAAATACCCCTTTGGCCAGAGGGCTGCAGCTTCTCATACATGATAAAGCATTTTGGTCACCAGATTTTCACTCCGAATTTTCCCACAAGTCAAATATGCGTCGGGACTCCAGCTGTGGCGGGACGCTGCTCACCGCAGCTCGCAGTAAACAAAGTCCCTTCACGGCACGGACAGCTCAGCATCCGAAGGCCTGGGAGAGAAAATCACTGAGATTATGTTGCACACTGACCTCCTTCTGAGCTGTTTATTTATTCATTTATTTTTTAAAAATCCGCCTCTGTATCAATTAAAACATTAAAAATAAATCTGACCTACACTGAGTCTGATCTCTAATGCTGCATTTTTTTAATCCACTTTATGCCAGTTTTTCTTTTCTTGTTTTTGAAAATCTGTGCCACGTTATTGCTGCTTTGCTAAAGCAACAGAATACAGAGACATTTCCTTTCACTTCCCAGCTGACAACAGAAATCTGTGTGCTCTCTTCTTTTATATTTTGCCTCTCTGCTTGTTTTGCGTAAGCAGCAGTGCTGCAGCAGTGCACACTGTCAGAGCGGTGCTTCCCCTGCTGTTGTTGGATTTTATGACATTGGTGATGGAAGACGCTGATTTGTCTGGAAAGATCAGGGGACGTCTTTGTGTGAATGCACATCAACATGTTGGCATGCAGGGCTTTTTTTTTTTTTTGCGCCTGTGTGTATGTGTGTAAACGGGACAAGGGTGTAAAAAGAATGGATGGATGTGTGTAAACGTTTGTTGTGTCTCCTCGCGTTTCTGCTGTCTAATCTCCAGTTTCAGATGCGTATCAGTGTAGAGGCGCGAATCCGATACAGGTCACTGTCTGTCTGCAAAATAGAAAACCTCTGTGGCTTCTCACACAGCTACATAAATTGTTACATGTGTCCAAAAAAATAGCAATAATTATTTATTCATCATTTTTATGGTTTATTTCTTTCCCCTCCCACTGTTTCAGGTCCAGAGGGAAGAAGCACAGCGTTATTTTGCGGACCCAGTTGACCGTCCGTGTGCACGCCTGCATCGGTGAGTGCAGCATGACGAGTTTCTGCTTTCATGAGAAACTCTTTGTTTCTCCTGACGCTCGCACACACATACACACACACACGTCATCTGAAACACCGACTCCCAAAAACACACAAGGTACTTTTAAAAACCTGAAAAGTGGCATCATGTGCGCCGTTGATTAACGTGTGAAAACGTCTCTAATTTTACCATCATTTATAAAAAAAGAAATGGTTATGAACTGATTTAAATGAGCAGTTAAACCTTCGAGGTCGGTGTGATCACACTGCAGCTCACCACTCCTTTTCACTGGAGAGTCTTAGAGAATAGAGATGCACGGATCAAATGTTGGTGATGTCATCTCTCCAGCTCCTCTATAGCAGTGGTTCTCCCGTGGTTCTTAACCTGTTTTGAGGTACCGAACCCACTAGTTTCATTTGCACGTTCACTGAACCCCTTTAGTGATAAATAAAATATGATTTTATTTTTCCAAATTCAAGGTATTCAAGGTAAAAAAAAAAAAGGTATGTGTTTTTTCTTTTTACTGGTGCACAAAATGAGTCGTGCATGACCATCACCGTGCTCAAAGAACAAAACCAACACACTGCATGAACTCACAACAAATTACTTTATTACTTTATTCTGGCTACAAAAAATTTTTCATCCCCATTAAAGAATTTCAGTCCCCAAAAATATTTTCTTTGCTATTTTACTAATTAAAAATATATTTGGATTTTTTGACAAATGTAAAAAATTTTTAAAATGATTATTTTAATGATTTTTTTAATTTAAATTTTAATTTGTTTTTTGGCACTTTGAATCCACAAAATACTTGTTTACTTTTCCCCGTCTCCAGCTTCAAGACGTGTCCCCTTAAATTTGCCAGTGGAGACTAGAGTTGGTCAACTTGGCGTTGCATGTCATGCAGATGGGACGCCGACTCCCATCCTGTTCCGTGATGCGTGAATCCATGTTCCACATATTCATCTGACCACTTTCTTTTTTTGCTCCACATGTTTAGTATGGATTCAAATATTGAGAAAGAAACCACACGACGTACGACTATGACAGCCGTTAACGACCGCGCGCGCTAAATTCTCCGCATATTTTTTTTAAAATATGTTTTTAAGACCCACAATAATTAACATTTAAAAATGGTTGAGAGACTTAAAATCTATTTTATTTTATCAAAACTCAGAAGGATTTAAATGGCATTTTAAATTTCCTTGTGATTAGCAACCTTTTTATTAGCACCTTTAGCATCTGTTAGCTACTAATTATAGTTTTGTTTTTTTTGGATATGTCTTAAATGAACGCAATCAATGACAATCAAAAATGGTCGAGACAGGGAAAATTTAGAATCTATTTTACTTTTTCAAAAGCCAAACAGAAGAATTTATTTCATACTTTAAGCTTCTCCATGATTAGCGACGTTTCCGTTAGCACCGCTAGCTTACGTAGCACTAAACATCAGTTGTATTTCGTGGAGATTGCAGAACCTTACATAGTCACTTTATCTCCATTTCCAGGCCATCATCCATTTTTTATGCTAGCTAATTAGCAATGCAGGAAAAAAAAAGCCTGCAGATATCAGATGGCATCACGGGGAGTTAAAATGTAAAAACATCAACTATGAGATGAGGAGTCTGAGGCGGTTGTTTAGATTTATTGTAATAAATAAATGTTCAAGTACTTGCTACTTTCCACAGTAAGGTTTCTGAATCATGTTTAGGAATGGCACTTATTTGTTTGACTTTAAGCAGAACCACAATGCTGCTCTGTAATCACGAAGGACTTTCTGTCTTCCTGGTAAACGCTTCTCTTCTGCTTCCTCCATGACTGGCCGACATTCTCCGCGCCACTGATAGCCGTGCTAAATCTGGATCACAGAATCGCTCCAGCCATTGGGCTGAGAACGTGACGAGGTGAAAGGTCGCTCCACACCGGGGCGTCGGATGTCAGAAAAGTTGCTCATGTAGGAAAATAATAAATATTTGACATTATTTAAGATTTTTTTTCTTTTTTTGAAACGCAGTTGAGCAGGCTGCATCAATGACATGAGATTGATTTTAGAAAAAGAGATATTTTTTGTGTGCCGCAACATCTAGTGAGAATGTCAGATTAAATTTCTGTACGTTGTAAACTCTGATCCGATGAGCTTACACGGGTCGTAACCGTGCACAGATAAATCTGTCTCTCACGCTGATGTATGTAATGCAAACCAAATGCACAAGTTTTGAGGAAAACCAATCTCTGGCCTCTTCCTTACAATATTTGATGTGTCATATTTCTGAAGGACTTCAGTAAATAGCAGTTTGTGTTAAAGCAACACTAAATATCAACCTAAATGGTTGACATATATTTTTTATGACATATAAGAAAATACATAATAGATTATTAGCAAAATGTCCCATGACATAATCGTTTTAGAAATGTATTTAATAGACAATTTATCAATTTTGTTAATTTATCAATCTAGTGGAGTTCAAAAGATCCAGGATTAGCTCCTAATCCCGTCCAGATGAAGTTATTTCATGGTGACGTAGAGCTGGACAATAAATCACTAACAATATATATCGTATCAGAGGGATCAATAGCAGTAGAGATAATTCTCAATAATTTACCTGGAATCCGATCCAGAATCAAATATATCAATTAGACATTTATTTTAATTTATGACATATTTAGTTAATGACTTGCTGACGTAGTTTTTGTTTTCATTTTTGCCCCTTTTAGCTCCCCATAAAATGAAGCTTGTATGCTTGATCTCTGAACAGATCCATTCACTCTGCAGATCTTCTGGGCCGTAACCTTTAGTCGTCCGCGCATTTGACTTTCCGTAATCCCTCTGGCTCTTGACCTTCAAATCCTCTCAGTAGCGGTCAACCGACTCTCCGCTAAATGAAAAATCTGTCGCGTCCAGATTGTTTGCGTGGGGAGGGTGCACGGTGGTTGCGAGGCAGGCGATTGCGATGAAGCGACTCGTGCGATTGGTTGTGTCGTGAAAAGGGTTCAGGGCGTCTGAACGGCTCCGCGAGGCGTTTTTAAACCTAAGAAAAGCGTTTTCCACAAATCGCCTCAGGTCCGCTTGCCATTTTTTGCGTCAACGTCGGACGTCAACGCGGCCTTCCTCGGTGCGCCGCTCGTCTCTTTTCATAAGCGTGAGAAAAAGAAAAAAAAACCAGAGCATGACGATGGAAAACACGGCTCTCCTGAGAATTTCTTTGCACTGCCGTGGAAAGATCAAATTACATGCAGGCTTCCCTTCTTGGGATTAAAGAAGCTCTCTGATGTGTGTGAGGGTGTGGCAGTGTCTGTGTGAGCTAATGAGGTTTCATGTTGTGGATGAAAAACAAGAGTGGAAACATTGGTCGGGTCAGCAAATCGGCCAGGTTCATTTTTGGGACAAACTCCACTCTGCATACAGAAAGAGACGCTTTTCGTCCCACTAGGGAATCCGGCTGTTTTGTCTTTCTCATGCAGGGCGGGTATCTGATATTCAAGGTGTCGGCTTTAGCTTAGCCAGGAGCTCATTATTTTTCCTGTTCAAGTCTTGTTTATACCCGTGTAACGCTCTCGCATATTTTTTTAATTCCCCCCTCTGCTAATGAGAGCCTCTTGTTTGAGCTTTAATTTTAGTCGTGTCGTTCGCAGCAGGGTTGTTAGGAGGGTGTCAAGAGGTGGAACGACGCCGAGGTGTTATCTTTAGAAAGCATTGACGTCACAGAAACACGTAGAGCTCTGAACGTCAATGGCCGGACGCAGGGGGGAGACTGCAGGGGCTTCAGGGATCCACTGGGGTGAATTTGAGTGTGTGACATCAGGAAGAAAGCACCATCCAAGTAAAACTCTGCTACGTTGAAAAAATGTCAGATAGAATTTCTTAGTGTTAAGCTTAACCCAGATAAGCTTAACCTTACTTGATGTCAAGTTGTTGTCCATGATCAAAATTGCAAGGAATAAAAAGTCACATTTTTGTCCTTAATTAGGGCAAATACTGCAAAAATTTCTTGTAAATGTTGCTAAAGTAACACCACAAAATGAGTGATTTTGATAGCAAAAAAAATAAAAAAAATCATAGAATCACAACAACAGACTTGAAATCCTAAGGGATTTGATTTAGCAAACTTTTAACTTTGAGGTAAAGAATTTGCAACAAACAGCAGGTCGACCTGTTTGGATTTTGAAACATCTTTTAATCATTTCTAGCCCTCATGCATCTAATTTCTTTGGTTTTCATGCCTGTGTGGGATACGTCACTGTTATCAGTGGTGACAGATACGACATGTTTACACCAAAAAAGTAGATTTTGTTTTTCAGTTCTGCCTTTGCAAACTCTTTCCCGTTGAGCTGCTAGCTTACCCTGAGATTGTTTGTGCCCTACTGCAGCTTCCTTCATGATTTTGCTGCGGCTTCAAACAAAACTTCTTGACAGCTGTCTTTAGCTCTGCAGGATTGTCTTAATGAAACGTTGGCATTGTACGGCGTGTACAGGGTGTACTTTACTTGGCCATTTTACAGACTTTCATTTGAGTAAAGTTCCACATCTGTGTCGAAGTCTTCGTTATTGACGCTTTGGAATTCTTCAAGTGTGTTAGTCGTGTATGTTTGTGCCCTCCATTTTCGAAGTAGGCGAAGACTGTTTGCACAGCAGTTCTCGTTTATTCCCTGCCCATAATGCGTCGCTGCAGAGCTGGATCTCGCAGAGCGACGGTAAACGGTTAAGGTCTACTGACGTCTTGGAGGTTTTCTCACGGAAAACATGGTCAATGTTAGCAATAGTCAACAGCTATAAAAGTTTAACTGAGAGCGAAAGGTCTGTTCCAAGGCAACCCCTGCTGAGGCTCACAAACCGCTCAGGAAAACAAATCTTTCCCTGTTGAGGCTGGAATACTATGTTATAATACATGTGTCGTTGACAGACGCTGTGAGTATCACCATGGTTGAAATTAGCGGTTAGCCTTAGCTTCTGCTTAGTGGGGACTAATGTTTATGATCGGAGCCTCAGGGTTAGCATGACT